ATTTTGTGGCGATGAAATTCAATATGTTTTCTTGAAAGTTTTTTTGAAAATTTTAAACCTTCAAGCTCTTGTAACTCAAACAAAGCTTTAACTCCATTTAATATAGCAGCCCTCATCATCAATAAAAACACCCAAATCATTTAGAGAATTTCTAGCTAATTTAAGCATATGGCATGGGTCAAGGAAAATGTGGAGCAGTTGGTTGTTATATAAAAAAGTACTAACTATATTGTCTATGACATTGCCAAACTTACTTCCAAATGGGACAACGGAATTTAAATTTGTACTAGTACCATCAAATGTAATACTTTTGATACAAAGTTCATATTTCAAAGCCACATCTAAAATATTTTTGATAAAACATGTTAAATCACTTGCTTTAACTTTATTTGATAAAACATAACCAATAGGTGTTTTCCAATGTCCTCGCAAACCAACTAACATGAAAATTAATGCCTGTAGCTGGAGTATCAGGTTCACATACAGAAATATCTTTACCAAAATCACAAAAACCAATATAGTGACCTGAACTTTTGTCATAAATTATACTGTTTTTGATTGCCATAGCATCAATAATAGGAGCACAATCCTTAAAATTAATATCTGTTTTTTGTTTATCACCAAGATATGAAAAAACATCAAGGAATAAACCAGGATCATAATTTACAGATGATGTCCAATGTGATATTGAACTGGCAGCAGGAAGACATAATATTGGCCGAAGAAAGTTATACGCACATGGAGAATAAAAATGAAGAGTTAAAGCGAATTTTTTTACTTTATCGTTGCATTTGCGACCTTTTGGTTTAATATTTTGATTGGAAAATTGGTTCTTAATAATTTTATATGAGAGTCCAGAAAAATTTTCGCTCAAAACAGTTCCAGCATCAGTAGTCAAATAATTTTTAGATTTTAAAAGGGAGACCATGTCTTGTAAAGAACAGATTTTCTTTCCTTTTCTTCTTAATTTTTGTTGAAAAACCTTAACTTTTTTTTTTTAATTTTTCTTTTGCTGGTGATAAAAATTTTATAGATTGTGTTGGAGATTGACTAGTGTGGTCATTTTAATCAATAGTGCTTTCTGGCTAATCATTATGTGTTGAAATAATTTCTTTGCTGGGTTTGTCTATAGCAGGGAAAACATCAAACTTTGTTTTTTTCGATAAAGGATCAAATTTAGATAATAAATTTACTGATGTTCGTATTGATGGGAGTTTCTTTTTTGTCTTTTGAATATTTGTAGAAAATACAAAAACTGATGGCACAGCATTACATTTTAAAATAGACTTATGATAGTGATCAAGAATTAGATATATCTATTAGAACATCCATATGCAGCACAAGAATTTATCATTTTAAGATGAAAATAGTTGAATTAAATAAATACTTCAGCAAGGTAAAAGAAATAATGTCGCGAATTTACTCTCTATATTATATATGATATTTACTGTTTTCTGCCCGATATAATGGCTGATTAAAATAGTAAACAAATAAATCGGCTTCGCTTTTATTTTATAAAAATCCCGAAGTTAGACATCTACACCTTTTCAAGATGTAATTGAGAAAACAAAAATTGTAATTAAGAATCGTAAGATGTAATTGAGAAAACAAAAATTGTAATTAAGAAACGTAAGATGTAATTGAGAAAACGTAAGTTGTAATTAAGAAACATAAGATGTAATTTAGAAAACGAAAATTGTAATTAAGAATCGTAACATGTAATTGAGAAAATGTAAGTTGTAATTAAGAAATAGAAAGATGTAATTGAGAACACGAAAATTTTAATTTAGATATCACTTTAAAGGAGTAAGTGTAAAATGGCGCTTAAAAAAAATGGCGCGTAAAAAAATGGAGCGTATAAAATGACGCACTTAAAAATGACGCAAGATTTGTAGCGTAAATTTAATATTTTAGGGAAAAATTTATAATTTTTGGGCAAATGAGTTTAACATAATAAACACTAAAAACATTTTAGGGAAAAATTTATAATTCAATTAAAAATTATAATTAAAAATCACTTCATTGATCATTTAAGCATCAACTTGTACGTCTTCCATATTTAAAATAGTTGCATAGTGCGTGGTTGTGTGTTGTACCGCACGTGCACAATCTCCTCCCATTATAGTATTTTTCGCCTCAACTACAATTCATTCTAAGTACTGCATGCGCTGTTCCGCAATCCCGTCACCTAATACAGGTGGAATGCGAATTGCATTTTTAACGTTACTTTTAATTTTGGACCAGATCGTTTCCACCGGGTTCAACATTGGACTGTAAGGTCCCAAACGTAACAACTGAGCTGGTGAATTATCAAACACCCTTTGCAAACGAGCGTGACAAGGAGCATTATCTGTTACGACGACCAAATCCTCCAAACGATTCCCGGATGTAACTCACTGGTGAAACATAGCCAACATCCACTCGTTACAGGAATCTGCTTTAAATGATCCCCGGCGAGTTTCTATTATGACGACATTTGTAGTTGAAATAGCTGCGATCAAGTGTATGTTTAAACCTTTTGAAGCAGGTACTTTCATAATTGCTCTTTTTCCTTGTCTCGCGCGTCCTTGCGTTTTTCTACAAAAAAGGTTAAAATTTGTTTCATCCAACCAAACTATCTGACGACCATTTGTGATATGTTCGTTGATGTTTCTAACATATTCAGCTCTTTTTTGTTTGTTTTCATAACTGTTCATTGTAGAAGGCTCCTTGTGCACTTTTTTTAATGAGAACAATCTGCCTTCGAGGTAATTTGCTATTGTTGTTGTGCTAACGTTTATGTTAAATTGTCTTAATATCTTTGTTTTGATGGCCACCAATGTTAATTGACAACCATTTTCAATCCATGTTAATGTTTCTTCGATTTGATCTTCGGTCAACTTTTTCGGTTTAAAACCTCCTTTTCCGATGAAATTTGAATTTCCGCTGCGAACCCAATTGTATGCTGTCTTATATTTGATACCTAGCGTTTGCGCGAGATTCACCCAATCTTCAAATCGCTCCGCACATTCAACAACTCTTCTCCTGTCATTTGGAGAAGATAAAACGTAACGTTTCCTTTCAACTTGTTCAGTTGTGTGTATTTCATGCCGACAAATCGGACAACTTGAATCTGGTTGTTCCAGAACTGGACGTAAACAAATTTGGTGACATAAATGTTGACACGGATTAAGCTTAATCACCGACTTTCGGGTCATAGTGTATTGGCATATAACACAACGATCTTTCAATTCCATTATTATTACTTGTGCATACAAAAGCAAAATTTAAGATTATAACTTAAATTCATGTCCAAAAAGAGCTTTTGTAACACCCTACAAACTTAGACTGTGAATTTGCTATTTTAATTCATGTGTTCTCAATTACAAGTTACGATTTCTCAATTACATATTATGATTTCTCAATTATATCTTACGTTTTCTCAATTACATGTTGTGTTTCTTAATCACATGTTACGACTTCTTATTTACATGTTGTGTTTCTCAATTACATATAACGTTTTCTCAATTACATGTTGTGTTTCTTAATTACATATTACGACTTCTTAATTAGAACTTTCATGTTCTCATTTACATCTTGAAAAGGTGTAGTTATTTATTTACGTCATTGCTCTTTACACATTTTAAAACGACTCCTGTGATTCCATATAGTTCGAGCTTTTTAATAAAAATTTGATGGTCGATAGTATCAAAAGCTTTTGATAAATCAATAAAAATTCCAATGTATATTCAGATTTATTAAACGACTCGTTAAAATTACGTGTAAAACTGAAGTATTGCATGCTCTGTGGAGTTATTTTTTTTGGAACCATTTTGATTATTAAATAAAATATTATTTACAGAAAGATGAGTTTTGATTTTGTTATATAAGATTCTCTCTAAAAGTTTTGAAAATACAGGAAGAACAGAGATAGTGCGATAGTTATTAACATTAGTTGCATCCACTCCTTTGAATATTGGCAATTTTAAGTTGATCAGGGAAAACCCCTCGGCTAACGCAAGACGAAAAGATTTTGAATAAAATATTTTCAATAAAATTGTAAGAATTTATAACGACGTTTCCGTTGATACCGTCGAATATTTAACGAGGTGCTATATCCATAACTTTAATTTACATAAGTCAGCTCTTTAAACCTCTGATTACTCAATATAGAGGACCTCGTCTGCGGAACATAGTTCTTAATGAAAATTTCATATAGAGGACCTCGTCTGCGGAACATAGTTCTTAATGAAAATTTCATATAGAGGACCTCGTCTGCGGAACATAGTTCTTAATGAAAATTTCATATAGAGGACCTCGTCTGCGGAACATAGTTCTTAATGAAAATTTGAAAAGCATAACTTCAATAAACTGTTTTAAAAATATAGTTAAACAGTATTTACTTGAATTAACAGACACAAACATATATTTGTATTTTTGAGTGATAAACAAAAAGTAAGTAAAAATTTTGTAATATTTCTTACTGTATCTATTTATTTAATTTTTTGCAATTTATTGTATTCTTGTTGAATACGATAAACTGCAAAAAATAACAGCTTTTTTTCTGAAAAACTTAACACTTTTTTAAACTCAATTCAATTATAATAACTGGTTAATAATTTTCATCAGTGTACAAATTCTATATACATAGAAAAATAAGCAAAACACTCATAAAAAGTTGCATATCAAATTTGATAAAACATATCCAAAATATTCAAATCGTACAGAATGTTTTATAATGTATTGGACATTCGTAAAACATTCTTTACGATTAGAATGTTCAACTTTAAACTAAATATTTTAGTGATGCGTATTTGTGGCTTTTAAGTAGCAAATCCCATATTTGGCGGCGTGAAATAAGTATATTTGATGAAGATATATATATGTATTTTTTTTTTTTTTGATAAATACGTTTTTAGCGTCATGGGCAGCAATTTTAGCTCGCCCAAATTACGAATAATTGACGAATAATAACAATATTACCCTTTCCCCTCGGGTTAAAAAAAAAGATTTTAGAAAAATTTTATAAAATTTAAACTTTAGCTTGAACGTAGTTTACAATTCTCTATTACAATTTTATCACTAACTTCATGGATATCTTCTTATATTCGTCATCTTTCAACGCAATTAAATATTTCTTTGACGAAAATAAAAAAAAAGAAGTCCAGTACTAAGTACCGAATAGTCGCTCAATAATAAGCTAATAACTAAAGGTTATTCTCTATTTCAATCAGAACTATCAGTGGAATTATTACGTTTCTTTCGTTTCTTATTGCCTTCAGAATGCCTTTTCGTATGTTTTTTATAATCACGAGATTTTTTTTTATCTTCGTCTGAACTATCATCTGAATCAGAAGGTTCACTTCTATTGTTCTTTTTATTGGACGATTTTTCCTTAAAAAAAAAAACAAGAAAAAAATGCCTAACAAAAAAATAATCCAAAACAACAAGATATTTATTAAAAGTAAAACAACAATACAAACAATCTAGACCAGTTCAGTAAAACAAATTAACAATACAGACTAAAACACAATTAACAGCAAATATCAACCAATAAAACAACTAGAAATTGTCAACAATAAACATCAACCAATAAAACAACTAGAACACTATCAACAATAAATATTAACCAATAATATAACTTGAACACTATCAACAATAAATATCAACTATTAAAACAACTAGAACACTATCAACAATAAATATCAACTAATAAAACAATTAGAACAAGAACTACAATGTTGAGTTGGCACAATATTAAAGTTAACCAATGCTTTTTACATTTATAACTTTATTGTACATCAAGAGATGTGTTCACTTTTTATTACTATATCAGCTATAAATATCAAAAACTTATGCTACAAATTTTTATTATATTAAAACTAAAAAATTATTATAATATATTAAAAAAATTTTTATGTTATGTTAAAACTTCTTTCACTAGGAAAAAAAATTCTTAGTTATTAAACAATAAAACAAAATACACTAATAAAAATCAAACCCCAGTGTATTCTTCTGTATCACATTCTTCTAAGGAGATTTTTTTAAACTTCTTTTCTCTTTTTTCATTTTTAACTGATTCATCGCTATCGTCACTATATTTTGTTTGTTCTTTAACATCTGTTTTTTTTTCTTTTTGCAATGATGATCTAGCGTCTCGTTTTTGCAATGATGAGGAAGATGATCTAACATCTCTTTTTTCTTTTGAAATAGAAGACCTATGATCATTCTTCTTTCTAGAAAATTCATTCTTTTTATCATCGTCACTGATTGTCTTCCTTATATCATCACGATTATTTTTTGAAATAGCCTTTTTTTTCTTTTTAAACTCCTCTTGAAACTTTTTAGATTGTTTATGATCAGAATCTTCAGAATCGCTGTTTGAATATTTGGATGACTCTTTTAAATATTTGGATGACTCTTTTAAATTTTTGGATGACTCCTTTAAAGTTTTTGATTTTTTGATATCGCAATCATCAGAGTCTGAATCATCTGAGCTCTTTTCTGTGTGTTTTTTTGATTTTTCGTTTTTCTTTTTTTTTTCAGCAGTTTTTAAATCGACATCATCATCATCATCATCAGATGAAGAATAGTTTCGCTTAAGTGATTTTTTAGGATCATTTTTAGAATCAACTCGTTTTTTGTGACTTTTCAGCGTTTTCTTCCGTGCTGAACGCTTGTCATCAATACTTTTTGATGAGCTATCAGAAACACTATCAGAAGAATCACTTCTTCGCTTCTGTGATTTTTTCTTTGATTTATAAGAATCTACAAATCAAATTATCTATAAAAAAATCTGTTTTTAAACAAACTTTTCATGTTCCAGTCATCAAAAAATCATGTAAGCGAAGAAATAAAAAACCTTTTTTCTTGTTTTTTTCTTGAACTTGACTTTTTTTTCCTTTATCTTCATCATCAAAAATCATTGAATATCTAAAAAATAATTTAAAAAGAATTATTTATTAAACAAAAATAAAAAACTGAACTAAATCCAAACAAAAGAAACATCAACAAAAAACTAAATGTTTTAAAACATCAATATTTAATAGAAAATATTTGATCAACAACAATTTGTAACAATTTTACCAACACCTACCCCTCAATAAAACATTTACTAGAATAAAAAGAATAGCACTTAAATAAAGCATAACATACACTTCAGGGGAAAAATCTAGTATACAGCTGCAATTAGAATGTCAAACTTGAGTGAATCAAGCAAAAAATACATAAGCAAATCTCAGTTGAAACAAAATAAATTAGATGAACGATTTTATATACACAAATGCAACTTCTTTAAGCAACAAAATTGACGAGTTATTGATAGGAATTTCAAATTGATAGAGAATTGATAGAAACTTCAAAGCAAGTATAGTTTTAGTGAAACATGGTGATCAGACAAATCAGCAGTTATATTACCAGGTTTTAATTTGTATTGTGTACACAATAAAGGAGGAGGTGTATGTATTTATGTTGATGAAAAAATAAAATGAACCATTATCTGAAGACAAATGGTGTTTGGTTGAAATTGGGACTGAGAACTAATTGGATGTACTGGCATGATATGTGGAAATTTTAACATCGATAAATTGGATATGAGGATTTAATGAAGCTAAAAATCGAAAAAAAAGGCGAGTTTATTCATTGATTGTTTAGAAGTCAGTTTTCTGTATCAAAATATTCTAAAACCAACTTTTCAAATAAAAACAAGAGTCGATAGCAATGTTTTAGATTTAATATTAACCAAAAATGACAACAGAGTTTTTAATACTAACCCTCCTCTGTGCAACATAGAACATGGCCATTATTTAATTAATTTTAATTATTGGTTTCAAAAAAATGGGAACAGCGATACAAAAATGACAGAAAAATTCCTTTTTAATAAAGGTAATTGTAAACAAACAAATAAAATATTTTTCTAAAATGGAATGGGATTTTTTTAAACTTTAACATTTTTAAACTTAAATACTGGTAAAACTTATAACAAATGGTTATCAATCTATCACAATGCTTGTAATAAATTCATACCAAATCAAAAAATCTATCAAAATAAAAAATTAAAGACCCCAAAAGTTAACTGAAATCAAAAAGTGTTGGCCTTTGAGAATGACTTTAATAAAGCGGTTAGAAAGAAACAATTTGATAATCTCAAAAACTTTCCCAGATGCATTATATAAAACAAGCTTATGGAGAAGACCAACATGCCAAACTTTGTCAAAAGTCTTAGATATGTCAAGAGCAATAGCCTCTCTGCCTCAATCTAATGCACAATAAAATCTTTCAGTCAGAGCAATTAGCAAGTAGAGCGAGAGGATCAAAAACCGTATTGATTGTCTGACAGCAAGTTATTTGACTTAAGATGGGATGTGAGAAATTTGTTTATCAAAGACTCAAAGACCTTGCTAATAACATAAAGAAGACTGATTGGATGATAATTGGAGTGGTCAAAATGTTTACCAGAGTTTTTAAAAATTGGAACAACAGATGCTATTTTTCAACAGGCACGAAAACAAGACTCAGTCAACCACTTATTAAATAGTTTTGAGAAAATTGAAGAGAGTTCTGGAGAACAATTTTATAAGACAGGAATGTTGTCTGGACCACAAGCTATAGAAGAGTTTAATTTAGTTATGACATGAGCAATGGAAGCTAGTGTGATTTGAATGTCTAACAAATGGGTTAATCTGTTTCATTGGAATGGAAGAAAGAGAATGGCTGTAAGATTTGATAGTTGAATTAGAAGAAAAGTTCTTTACAAATAGTTTAGCCTTTGCCTTGGGAGAGGTAGTAAGATCAGTCCCATGAATGAGGAATGTTAGACCTTTCTTTCTTAACATGAACAGAGTCCCTGTCAGCTTAAGGGCAGTAGTAAGTAGTCTGATGATAGGGTGTGTCTGAAAATGAAGTACGAGATGAAAGATTTAAAGAGATCATTGAATAGTTAGAACCACCTAAGGGAGAAAAAGAAGAAACTGAACACAAGCTAGGACCAGAGACCAGACATAAATCAAGGAGTGAAGGTAAATGATTAGGACTGTCAGAAAAACGAGTCACAAAGTTAACTATGAGTAAGAGATTGAGAATTGCAGAAGTTATAGGATTTAGTGCCAGCAGGTTCAGTGGCATTAGAGCCAAGCCATTCAGTGTGATGAGCATTAATGTACCAATAACAACAATATTGGCAGAGGGGTAAAGAGAGAGAACATAGTCAATCATAGTTGATCAGAGATTATATCTAAAAAAGTGCAGTCTTGTGAAAAAGGAGAACGATAAAGAACAAAGAGAGAGGTGATAGAGTGAAGAGGTCCTAAGCAGAAGCACATAAAGGAATGGTTAATGGATTTAAACCTGATTTCACGACAAATAGGTGAATTGATGCCTATGTATACCCCAAGTTTAAAGTAAACTTATAAGTTTACTTTAAACTTGGGGTATAAGATAATCTATCAGTTATCTTATAACTTGGGTTATAAGATAACTGATAGATTTCTGTAAGATAACTGATAGATTTCTGTAAGATAACTGATAGATTTCTGTAAGATAACTGATAGAATTCTATAAGATAACTGATAGGTTTCTATAAGATTATTTTTGAATATCTTAAAGATTACTTTAAAAATCCTTAAATTGCTGTTAGATTTCATTCATAGATAGAGCATGGTTTCCCAAGCAATGAGTTATGCAATTTTCTCAGTCCTGTTAATTAACCTTAAGTCGTAACATAGAGCTCCCTATGTGAGCACAACAATGCCCACCAAACGCATTAACAGGGACATCATCCATGCGCAACATGGCACTGTTAATACTCTGATATTTTGCAGCTGTTGATGAAATCAACCTCTCATAGAGCTACCACAGAGTTTACTATCAGCCGGCCTCAGAATCATTAAACTGAGTTTTAGAGCAGTACCCTTATTAGGAGATAACAGGAAGAGTTGCATAGCAACTAAATCTTTGAGAAAAGTCAAGAATATTCAGCATTCATCATCCTAGGCAGGAAACAATGTAACACAGGTTTAAATCTACACCAGCTTAATAGATGAAGAAGGGGTTCGAGGCTGGTCAACAAAATTATTCTGCTTACCCCTAAAGTCTTTGCCTCCAATAAGACAGTAGCTGGATGCAGTTAACATCTGCCCAAGATGAGTAATTTTATGAAGGCATTATCTCTAGCCTTTACACAACCAAGAGCCTAAAGGCAAGGGAATTTTAGCTGGATGCAGTTAACATCTGTCTAAGATGAGTATTTTTATCAAGACATCAATTCTAGCCTTTACTCAACCAAAAGCCCCAAGGAAGGGGATTTTTAAGTCGGAGTTTGTTTCTCTAAGCTTTTGCCTTAAAAAGAAAATGCTCTTGATTGCTTATATTAGAGAAACAGAATAAAAAAAGAAGGGTAAAGCCTAATGATGATAATGATGATGATGGTGCGATGATAATGATGATGATGATAAAGATGGTAATGATGATCATGTTGATCATGTTGATCATAATGATGTTTATACATGCATATATATACAAAATATAACATGAATTTTGAATAAAAAAGAACTTTAGGATGTATAAATGTTTATGCAGCCCAGGTCACAAACCCAAGAACTTTAGAATGTATAAATGTTTATGCAGCCCAGGTCACAAACCCAGCCCTGGTCCTGGCTATATTTTATCAAACCTTGGCCCTTTCTGATTTGAATAGTTAAAAAAGTACTCAGTTTTGACCTGCAAAACAGGTTAAAGTCAATCTGGTTGTAAAAAATTGATTTTAAGTCATTAAATTAGTGCACAAAGACATAATAACAAATTATTAGATGCAAAAAGATACAATATTAAAGTATTAGATATATTTAAAAAAATAAGTTAGAAAAAGTATAATTTTTTTTATCTTTCTATAATATTTTTTTTATCGTTCTATAATATTTTTATCTTATAAATATTCCTATTATTTATAATAATTCACTCCCAACTCAATGGTGTAGCTCATTGAGTTGAGAGTGAAATCTTGTAGAATTTCCTTCTATAACAACTTTTACCAAGTAAAATATATATATATACGTATATATTTTTTTAGAATTTAACAACGAGGATAGAAGAATAGAAACTTGAGGCATACCTCAAGGTTCTATCATTGGTCCTATTTTGACTCTTATCTACAATAATGATCTTCCCGACAACCTTACATCTAAAGTAGCTCTACTTGCTGATGACTCAACTTTATATTCCTGTCTTGACAAAAAGTCTTCTCTTTTCGATAGCTTAGAACAGGCAGTTGATCTTGAATCTGATTTCACTTTTGTTAGTTTAACTCAGTTATTTACTACAAACAACTAACGCAGTACTGTCGACATTCCTATATAAATGAATGGCAACCCTCTCACTGAGTCCTCTTCTTTACGTCTTCTTGGATTATCATTTACGACTGAACTTTCATGAAAACCATATATACAATCGATTGTTAAATTAGCATCTGCTAAAGTTGCTTCTTTTTATCGTGCTCGCTATTTTTCTCTCTCCAGATTCCATTCTCTACCTCTAGAAATCTCTTATTTGTCCCTGTATGGATTACTGGATTAGATTAGACTAATTAGATCTGCTTTGGCATAACTTTGGGGGATTCGAATGAATAATTCTTAATTAATTTATGGTTATGGCATATTTGTAATAAAATTTAATTAATTAATATATATAAATTATTTTTCATGTTGGTCTTCTTCATAAGCTTGTTTCATATGGTGTATCTGGGAAGATTTTGAGATTACCAAATTATTTCTTTCAAACCCATTAAAGTCATTCTTAAAGGCCAACACACTTTTTTATTTTCAGTAACTTCTAGGGTACCTCAAGGTCCTGTGCTGTTTCTTATCTATATTAATGATCTTCCGGACATTCTTTATCGAAAGTGGCTCTATTTGCTGATTACTTAAATTTACATTTCTATCTTGACGAAAAGTCTTCTTTTTTTCTTTCTCTTAACTTAAAACAGGCAGCCAACCTTAAATCTTTATTATCAACATGACAATGATTGATTGAAATAATTTTGCATATAATTTAAATTCATTATTAATCTTTCTAGATAAGTCATTACTGAAGACTACAAATAGAAGAGGTTCAAGTACTGATCCTTCAGTATTTCCCTACTTACAGTATTTCACTATCTTCTAATTTAAAATATATTCTCCTATCACCAGCCTCTGAGTATGGTCTGACAAGCTTTACACCAATTAACAAAATGACACAAATCCTGGTCCAAATAACTACTTCAATAGTTTTATATGATAGACTGAATCAGATACTTTTGAAAAATCCAAATAAAAAAACATCAATCAAAAAATCCTTTTCAAACGCATGACTAAATCTGTTTCCAACAAGTTTGTTTTACAACTTTTGTTATTAAAAACATCGTGTTGCTTTTCAAAAATTAAATTAAAACTTATAACAATTATATTTTAATAACTAATTTGAAAAATGAATTGTAAATTAGTAAATAATAACTTACACATTTAAAATTGATAATCAAACTAGCAAGGTGAATAAAAATTAATTAAAAAAATTTCAAGAGATTTTTATATATAAAAAAGCAGATATAAAATTACTTGTCCTTTGGGTTTTTTTTCTCCTTCATTTCATAACCAAAGCCATCTTTTGAACTATTTGCTTTAGTATATGCAGCTTTAAAATAAAGAAATTAACAAATAAAAATAAAATTGAACAAATCTTAAATTAATCTGTAGCTAAGCAACTAAGCTCTAATTAAGTTCAATAATTTATTATATGTATTATCTATATTAAATTAAATGTTTGATAAAAAAAAAGAAGCAGAATGTTAATTATATTTATATAGACTACTCCAAGTTATTTCCAGAGGTGGAAAAAGTAAAACAAATTGTACTCAAGTAAAAGTACTGTTACTCGAGTGAAGTTTTACTCAAGTACAAGTAAAAGTTAGCGGTCGAAAAGTTTACTCAAGTAAAAGTAAAAAGTAGCTTATTAAAAATGTACTCAAAGTAAGTTACTGCGTTACTTTTTCAAATTTATAACACCCTATAAAAAAATTTCGAACAAATTTTAATTGCATTAATTATGTAATTTATTTCATGCACGCAAAAAACTTTTATACTAAGAGAATTTTTATAATCTATTTAAATTTAATTTAATTAAGTTAAAAATATTTAAATATATTGAAAATAAAATGATCAAAGTAAAGGACCTCGAAATAATGATGTAAATTTTTTTCCAAAAAAATCGAGAAAAAGGTAAAGCAGTTGTTGCTAAGCAGTTTATAGAATGGGGTTTACCCAGATCAACTGCTTACGATAAAATCATAAAATTGGAGAGTGGGTCTCTAAAAAAAAAAGTTGGAAGTGGTCGAATTGCTAAGGTAGCTACTAAAGAAAATATTCCAAAGATTGCTGCATTTTTTGAAAATAAATCAGGGTGCTCCCAAAAGAAAGTAGCTCAAGTTTTTAACTGTAGTCAAACTCGAATTTCCCAAGTATTAAAAACAATGACTAACATTCGAACTTTCAAAAAAACAAATCGTCCAGATCATAGCTATTATAAAAAAGCTTCCAAAAATTTTAAGAAGAAACCTGTCCTAAATGTCCTAAATTGTACAAAAATTATAAAAACTTGGATTTTGTTATGGATGATGAAAGCTATTTTACCTTAAACAATAGTACATTAGCTGGTAATGATAGGTTTTATGCCGCTGATCCTTCTCAATGTTCTGATGAAGTAAGATACAATTTGCGTAAAAAGTACGAGGACAGGCTTTTAGTTTCTTGTTGCATCAGCCCCCATGGAATAAGCCCTCTTTATATTCAACACAGTAAGCAGACAATCAACCAGTACACTTATAAAGATACTAGATAAAACTTTACTTCCTCTAGTATCAGAATATTGTAAAAAAAGACAATGAGTTTATCTTCTGGCCTAATCTAGCTTGATCACATTACGCCAAGTCAGTCATCGACTTTTTAAAATTGAAAAAAATCAAAGTTGTACCCAAAGATATAAACCCAGCTTTTGGGGTGATTTAAAACAGCTAGTGTACGAAAATAATCGGAGAGCTGAGAATTCGGAAAAGATTGAAGCAAGAATTAGATATTGCTATTCAAAAATGAATAAAGAAATTTTCCTTACTCAAATAAAACATCTTTCAAAAAAAATTTATAATATTGCTAAATATGGTATTTGAAAAAATTATTTAAATATATTTATAAACTACATATACTAACATATTACAGTTGAAATATTAAATAATAAAACTTAATAGTTCTTAAAATATTAATTTTTAAATTTTGTCCAAAATTTTATTTATGAGGTGTTATCTATAGATTTATTATTTTTTGTTAAATATAAACTTTGTCATTTAGTAAAAAAAATTTATTTAAAATATGGCATCTTTAAGTTAAGTCAGTGTGAGATAATTACTTTCAATTGGTTATAGAACAAGATTTTATTAAAAAAATCTTTAAATAGATAGTTTGATAAAAAATGCTTTTATTTCAAAATGTTTTAATTGATAGATGCAAAATTTTTAATGGGTGATGAAGTAATAAACCCATGGAAAATGTCAGAGTTTTATTTATATACATATTACTTGCGGTAGTGGTGTAGTGCTCACTTCATAAGCGAAAGATTCCGAGTTTGATCCCCACCATGCCCCTGGTAGTAACGCGCTCAACTTGTTTCTCCACGCAGCGACCTTGTTTGTCAAGGTTCATATTTCGGAGGTATAGAGTTGAGAGAGGGTTATAACCACAAATAAGTAGCCTCCTCGGCCTTGAGGAGTTGAACTAACAAACAGGGAAACAAAAAAAAAACTTCACTAACAAAAATTTACTATAGTATTTTAAATCAATTTATTAGTAACTTTTTTCTGCTTTTAAGGACCTTGTTTTTTTTAATTTTTTCTTTTTTAAGTTAAAATAAAAAAATAAAAAAAATTCTTATATAGAACAATCAAGGTTTATGAGGAGTCAGGAACTGAAAATAATGAAGAAAAAAAAATTAAATGTCTGACTATCAAAATACATCTAATAAAATATGGTTAAATTTTTTTCATTGTTTTTTTAATTTTAATGTTTTGAACATTTTTTATTATACTAAGACTTTTTTTTTTTAGAAAAAAAGAATTTCCACTTACATCATTAATTGCGTTTTAATGATTTTTCACATCTTAATATTGTTTTTTATTTTGTTAATTTTGTTAGACAAAGTTGAAAAAAATTTATTTTACTAATGGAAAAAAAAAAGAGATTCAGTGTTTTTAATGATTCAACTGCCATTCACGCGATTCAAAATGTGACTATAAGATTTAAAAATTGGTACAAAAGCATTTGGAAATGAAAGAAATTGTAATTTTAAAACTCATTTTAAGTTGAAAAGCATGCTTCAAAATACAACAACGTTTAAAATAATAGCCCAGTTGCACTTCGAAATATTAAATCATGTGTTGGCTTCTTTTTATTAACTTTTATTATTAGTGTATTCGTTGTTAAATGAAGTTTATACTACTTTTAATGCTTTTTAAACTTTTCTTTTAAATAATCACAAGAAATAAAATCTTTAGAGATCAAAATATAGTTTTATTAATAAAAACACTTTTGTAAATAACAAATTGTTTGGTCATCCTGCCAGGCTACTGTCAGGCATTTTTTTAAAATTTCAGTCACCCTTGGAGAAAATGAGTTGCCTGTACCACTGGACAACCATGAGAGTACACCCCTGACATCATCAGTTTATTAATAGAAACTTATATCATCAGTTCATTAATAGAAACTTACATCATCAGTTTATATATGAAGACTTGTCATATTATAGTTAATACCAACCAACTTTTTTTTCTGATAAACTATCAGATTTGTAAATGTGTTTTACTGACTTCCAATACTCACACAACTGCCTCTTGTTTTTAAATTAAAATTAGCAACACATGCCAAACAAACATTCAGCAATGTGCTCATATAACTTTGATAAGTGTTTTTTAAAGTGTTGTTGTTTAAATACATAATTTCATATGTTAAAATTAGATTATTACTTAGATAATTTAATATTTGTTATTGATTACAGTTTTAGACATATTTATATATAACAAACTTTGGCAACAAAAGCAAAAAAAGCTATACAAATTATTAAACTAGGAAAAAAATTGTGTATAACTGAATGCAATTAAACTTATTGCAAAAATTCTTGCTTAAAGTTACCAGGTTTATCAGCCAAAAGATATATAGTTATTGGCAACAAAAATACATTGTATAGCAATCTGCAATACTTTGCTTATATAACATCGGTTTATATAGTGCATCATATATACTCTGCTTATATAATATCGGTTTATATAGTACATCATATATTACCATAAGATTGGGGTCAAAAAGAAAGTTTAAAGTGTCTATTAAACTGTATAAACAGTTTACAAAGTATTTCCAGAAGAATTATGAAAAATTTTCCAATACAATCTAATATCAAAAAAACGTTTTTTGAATTAAAAATTCTAAAATTTCAAGATCTTGTAAAGCTTTTTAACTGTATTTTTGTGTTTAATTTTTTCTAAAATAATGATTTGTTTATGAATTTTTTTTATTAATTTTAAAATTTGTTAAAACAAGAGACTTAAATAAATATTTCACTCAAAGTACTGGAAATTATAATTTGCATCTTTCTCTTTACAATACTATAAAATACTGCAAGCTCTCCATAAAACATAAATATATATCTCACTGGACGTAATCAATACCATTTATTGAAAAAAAAAAGTTTATAACTAAAATTCAATTAGTAATTTTAATTAGTAACTTTCTTCTCAAAAAAACCAAATTATAAACTTTTTATTTGATTATATATTTAACAAATATTAACTATATCTTTCACCAATATTGCTTAAATATATTACTGTATTAATCTTTTCAATCCTTGACTCACTGTAAGGGTCATAACATTTGTAAGTAAATTTGAACACGCTGGAAACATTTGATTTTGTGACAGAGGCGGAAAAAAATTAGATTTAAAATAAAAAAAAACTGCCAGCAGGCTTGGTCGGGAAGCGGGAGCGATCGCTCTTGAATACTGACCACGGAAATTATATTTAGTTGCGAAAAACTGGCCAGGTTTTTTAGTCGTTTTGAGAACCTTTATGTTTATGTATGAAACAAAATTTTTTTGTTTTACAGACATACATGGAAACATAAACAACTTGAATGTTCTCAAAATATCTTGGTGCGAAAGAATAAAAAGAATATTCGCGAACACTAAAAACCCGCCAAATTAACAAACAAACTAATTTTATTGGTTCAAAAAATACGCTGACTAAGCAAAATAAAGTTTTAAAGTAATCTGTGGAAATGTTTTAGAAATTGTATTACTCACGATTTGTTACGTTTTGAGATTTCTAGCATAAATTGTTTTAAGAATATATATTATTTGTTTACAAAAATAAATGTTTTAAATATATATTAATTAAATTGTCAAAATTTTAAAAGTTTATTATAAATTATAGATTTTATTAGTATATTCTTATTTTTTATTTAAAAAGTATGTATTCTTTATGTAAATGTAATTGTGTGTATATGTTTTTTATCATAATGTATCTTTTAAAGCAATTATTATGATTTAAACAAAGACTTACACAAATATTTGCGTTTTCAATGAAGTTATAATCGTCTAAATTAATAAAATTAATTATGTAACAAACATATAAGAAGTTTCTGGTTACTAAACACAAACAATGCATATGAAGTAACTCGCGGATGAACAAGCACCGAGTACGACAGAACACAAATATTTATAGCAAATAACTAGATACAAAGAAAAGTTTCTAGATATTGGTTTACTGACTCTAATTATTTTCGCTTAAGTTGCCATTCTTAAAACTCGTTATACTTTTATCTGCTTTGAATACTAATTAAAATTAAAAAGCCCACTCACTAAACATCATCAGCGATATTGTGAAGCAGTTTCGCTTCCTCGTCATTAAGTATTTTTAATCTCTTTAATTAAGAATATTTGTTCCCTTTTTAAACAATCGTAAGTTGTTACTTTATATAAAAAACATCGCTTAATTTTATAAAAAATTATAAAAGAGCAATGTTTCAAAAAAATTTGTTCTAAACGTAATTTATTTAGCTTTAATTTTTTTTTTTTTTTGTAATTGTCTCTCATTGGTCCAATTAATAATGATCGCTTTTTTTTTTTTTTGCTTTTAAAAATGTTCTCAAAACGACTAAAAAATCTGGCCAGCTTTTCGCAACTAAATATTATTTACGTGGTCAGTTACTGTTTTTCATTTCAAAGCCTTTAAATCGATCATAATACTTCACATGCCATTACTTTACTGTTTTTTACTTGTAGTGAAGGGGTTGATAAAACAACTCTATATAAAAAAAAATATAAAAGATGCTAGTATTTTAGAGCAGTGCCCATTATAGTATTTATAGAAAATTAGCAACATTATAATATTGAAGATTGCCTGCAAGAGCAGATCCAACTAAGATTACAATGCGCTATTGCACCTTCTGTAAAAGAGAAAGGATATCATTCTGTTCCAGATATGGAAACAGTATTCCAAAAAAGGACAGATTAGAGATTTATAGAGATAAAGAATAGAATCCAGAGGAGGAGAGTGGCAAGCATGATAAATAAAAGAACTCTTAGCAGATGCTAATTTTGAAATGGATTTGATATAGGGTTTCAAGTAAAGATCAGAGTTAATCCTAGAAGACGAAGGATAGATGACTCATTGAGTACATTAATATTCATAAATATAGAAAGATCTAGATTATTGCAATAATGATTAACTAAAAAAATTAGAGTTTTATCTGAGTTAAAGTTCACCAGCCACTGAAAGCCTCATGCTGTAACAAAAGTGAGATCTTTTTCAAGCTTAAATGCCCCCCCCCCAAAGCAATCAGAGGGTGTTGGCTTCTTATCTAGACAAGAATAAATGGTAGTATTATCACCGAACAATGCCACCTTAGATGTAAAAATTTCTGGGAGATTGTTATGTAAATTTAAAAAGTATAGGGCTAAGGATAGAACCTTGAGGGACCTCTTAAGTTGTAAGAAATGAAGAGGAGTGCTGTCCATCGAGGATACTTTTATGCTACGATTGATTCAGTAACACTAGAATTCTTATGAATATATAGGTCCAGGCCAAGCATGTGGAGTCATTAATGCACAACAAAAGTATGAACAAAGGACACCATCCATATATATATATATATATATATATATATTTATATATATATATATATATATATATATATATATATATATATATATATATATATATATATATATATACATACATACATACATATATATATATATATATATATATATATATATATATATACATACATATATATATATACATACATACATACATACATGATATATATATATATATATATATATATATATATATATATATATATATATATATATATATATATATACATACATACATATACATACAGCGCCAATTTAAATGAGGAGCAGCTTGCACAGCTCCCCGTTCGTTTAAGGAGTGCTTTTCTCTGCTCTCCTACTCATTGATTCCCGCCGAGGCCTGCATACATATATATGAATATACATGATGTCACTTCATTGACTAGATTTTAACTATATGAGTGACACAATATTTATGTAAGTTTATATTTTATTATTTTTGTTTTCCATGTTTTATAGTGAAATTATGAATTTTGTGATATGAATGTAGTTGTGTATTTGATTTGATAAGTGTGTTCTACTAATTTTAAAAAACCCTAAAAAAAATAAATCAAAGAAAAAAAAAATCTGAAAACTTTTTAACTTAGCTATTATACATATTTCCTGATTTTCAAATTGATAAAAATGATTTAACTAAGCTATTATATATTTCCTGATTTTCAATTTTACAAAGTAGATTTAATTAAGCTTTTATATACTTCCTGATTTTCAAACTTATAAAGAAGATTTAGAATTTCATAATTTTAAGTACTGTATTAATATTATAACAAAATACTAATTGATCAGAAGTTAACTAAAAAATTAATATTGTTAAATAATTTCATAAGATGTTTTTAAAACTATAAAGTTATAAAAGAAACCTTCATCCTTTTATGTTTTTTTACCTAAATGACATCATCTTCAATCTGTTTTTATTTTCACATCTCCCAGGTCTACTTAACTGGACGGCTCCATTGGTCACTTTTTGCGATCATTGTGTCGCATAAGCAAAAAAAATTTTTCTTTGGGGCTGGTGAGCCCTGACTTTTTCCAATGTACACCACAACGACAAAACGGACATTAGGTTATCCCGCTGGATGTGGTTACGGCGCTCAATAACCTGATGACTACGCTGACACTCACGTACACATTCAGTCGTAAGCTCCACAATGCACGTCAGATCAGCGCTCGGTGACTATGTGTCCGGATCTGAAATCTCACTTCATAGCATATCATTCCACACCAGCATGGGGCAGTAGCTCTCTTGGCTAAGAGTGATGGCTTGTGGCCTACGGTGACAAATGTGTGCATTCGATCAATTGAAGTCCATTCTGTAGGTCTCATGTCTGGCTCTGATGTGCTAGCCCATAAGCGCAAGAAGTGAGTGTGTTTAGCTTTCTATTCACCCGATTTGAAAGTGAACGAAGACATAACAAGACCATACTAGACGACCAAACGGTACATACTAATGCACTACACCATCACACCTGTAGATATCAACAGCCTCTAAAATCAGTATATTAAATATTTCTTCTTTATTATATACTTTTGTTCATAATCTTTTTTTACCTTATCCTTGTATATTTATTCAGATTTGTGTTATTATGTGTGAATGAAGCCGTATATTTGTGAGAAGCATAACAGTGCAAAAATTTTACACAAAAGTACGTACTAGCGTATTTTTTATAACAAATGTATTCTTGGTTGGAATATACTGAACAATTTCACTAGATAAGTTTAGACTAATCACGATTTTCTTAGGTTTTTTTGTTTCTATCTAATTTTCTTGATCTGACGTCGCTAAGTTAGTTTGTTGTGGTTTGCACTATACAGTCTTCACTAACATTCCTTTGGTCGTTTTGTCAACAATAATGTTTTTTAATGTTACATTTTTTAGTGGTTATAAGCTATTAGTTAAAAATCGCATTTATTATCTTATCTTTTTATTTCCTCATTATTTTCTGCCTACTGATTTAATGTTTGTATATTTTTTTATCTCTGGCTAACTGTTGTTTAATTACTCTGAGTCTGTTTTGTGTGATAGCTATTGTCTCTACTTACCAGGCAAGATTTATATGAGAACATACTATTGGAGTTATCACATTTTTTTATCATATTTTCGTTTAACTACTTTTGTACTAACCACAAAACATCTTAACTTAGTATCAATGGTTATGAGTGGTATTTACTCATTAAATTTATAATACATACTTCAGCCATAAAAGAAACAGTAAGTTACTATTAATTACTAACTACTATTTTCTATTCACTTCTACACATTATAATTGTCATTTCACATTATAATTGTCATTTTATAAGTATCATTTCTACACATTATAATTGTTTATTTATACAAGCGCATACGTACATGTGTACAAGTTTGTTTCTTCTAATGTAAGGGTACCTTATATTTATATGTGTTTACATATCTGTTTATGGTCACACCACGCGCATCCCTCACCACCCTCACGAGATCTCTAAGAATGTTGGAGCTGTTTTCAAAAACTGAGATAGGGATTGGGTTTTTTAGCTTTTGTAGTGTAGTCCTATTATATTGCAATATTGACTAACATGACATAGAGTGCAGGCGGTGAGATCTGTTGCAAGGACACGCCCCTGACAAGTGGCGTTAGTGCAGGTCTCAGGCTCTCTGAAACGTCATTGGTGATCACAGTGTATTCCTGAGGAGGGGATCACCATTTATCCACTACTTAATTCTAATTGGTTATTATGGCACCAACATTTTTTTACCTCTTACACCCATGTATTTTTACGCTTTGTGAGCTTTTTATTATGAATTTGTTACATTAATGACATTTATATATTTTTATGTTACACAGGTGATTATCAATTCTCAATTTTTTATCTAGAGTTTAGAACATATATAGTACCACATTTATTAGACATTTAGTATGGTGCAATTATTTTAGTTATGAATACCATTAATAAACCAGCGGATTTTTATTGACTCATAGATCATTGTTTCATCATTTGTTTAAAGATGACTAGAGTGTGAGTTTTTATTCCTCTTTTCCTGAGTTGCTAACTTTTACTCCTCCTACTAAATAGTCTTTACATTAATTTATGTTTTTTTACCTAAATGACATCATCTTCAATCTGTTTTTATTTTCACGACTCCCAGGTCTACATAACTGGACGGCTCCGTTGGTCACTTTTTGCGATCATTGTGTCGCATAAGCAAAAAATTAATATTGTTTAATAATTTCATAAGATGTTTTTAAAACTATAAAGTTATAAAAGAAACCTTCATCTTTTTACCTGATTTATGCCATTTATTGATTTTTGAAACTGATTGACAAAAATCAACATGTATTCTACGATCATCAATTAAGACATTATCCATTTTGAAATATGCTTTCTCACACGCTTCAACCTGAAACAAATTTTTTGTTATTTCAATATAATGTATAATGCACAAAAAATAACTAAATTAACATAACTGCAAATTTAATTGCATACATTAGGTATTATCATTACATCTTTGCCATGTTTTAATGCAACCTCCCTTTGATATATGTAAAAGCAGAAAAAATATTAATTCATTAAAATGAGTTTAAAAAAACAAACTAACAAAAAAAAAAACAAATTCGATTATTACTGTACATTTATACAAAACTTTTTCAGAAACATGTTTATTGAAAAAATAATAATAATAATGATATTCCAACCTAATAAATATAAATTTTATTTATTATGCTGAATATATAATAAATATTTAAAAGAACAACAGTAAAATTCAACACTTTGAAATTGAGCAATAGCACTATTCAGTGCAAAATAAGTGCAAAAAATGGATGTATTCATACAAAACTTCTTCAGAAATGCGTTTTCTACAAAAAAATCTTCAAAACATGTTTATACAAAACTTCTTCAGAAACATGTTAATACAAAACCTCTTCAGAAATATGTTTATACAAAACATTCATACAAAACCTTTTCAGAAACATGTTTATACAAACCTGTTCAGAAATGTGTTCAGAGTAAGTAAGTGTCTAAGAAATATGTTTTGCTTAAGGATTTTATGATAGTATTACTTTAAAATTACCATAATGCAGGTGTTAAAAAAAATAAAAATAAAAAGATCTTTTGAATTTTGCAAAAGCTACATAAATTAACAAATGTATAGTTATTTAAAATATGTCAAAAAACTTTAGTATTAAAAATTATACTCTTCGAGAATTAGTACCTCATGAAAAAATTAATTTGTAACTTTTAAAAATCTAAAAAAAAAAAGGACCAATAAAAACATCTAAACAGAAAACTCCCATATATTTACAGGTTTGGGCAGGATATAGTCAGGATAAAAAAAAATTCGATTATTATACAATACTATGATGTAAAAAAAATAGATAGTGTATGAGATTGTAAGCAATGAGCAATTTAGTTGTTTAAGTCGTACTGGTTAACCCAGAGCCATAACATAAAGGATCTCATGTGGCTTTTCTGAGTACAAAAAACATAATCCAAGAAACTGCACTGAATGCCAAATTTATACTTATTAAAATAAGACAAACCTAGTTAAATACTTTTAAAATGTTTATAATTTAATTATTTTGAATTTTAAAAATAGTTATCATTAATAAATGATAACTATGTATTAGTTCTTCTAAAGATACAAATAATTTAAATTATTCTAGATAAAAATAAACTTTTGAAAACACTTTAGATTTTAACTTTAAAAAATTAATTTCAATTTAAAAATTACTTTAAATCTAAACATTTTTTTTTTCCAATTCACCTCCTCAAGGCCGAGAAGGCCACTACAGACAAGGAGGCTACTTATTTGTGGTTATAACCCTCTCTCAACTCTATAACTCCAAAACACGAACCTTGACAAACAAGGCCGCTGAGCGGAGAAACGAGTTGAGTGCAGTACTACCAGGGGCGTGGTGGGGATCGAACTCGGAATCACTCGTTTATGAAGCGAGCGCTCTACCACTACACCACTACCGCATTATCTAAACATAACAATAAGAGAAGAAGAATTAAGAAGTTATTTGCTCATTTTTATAAATTGCTCAAACTTGTAATTTTTTAGACAATAAAATAATAAACAACTAAGTTAACATTTTAATAAGTTACTACTTATTTACAGTTTATATTTCAAGTGGTTTTATTTTTACCCGATTAACTGAAAGTATTGAGCCTACTTACGCAAGAACCTCACTATTTGTACCCTTTGCCTTTTTCATTACTAGTAAATAATTACTTTTCCTAGATTACTCTGACCAAATAAAATTAAAAAAATACATTGTTATATATATTTAATACCTCTTTAAATTCAACAAAACCATAGCAAAGAGAGTCTCCAGTTTTTTGATCTTTTATAATTTCACAGCTAAAACAAGCATATTTCTATGTACACCATATATAATTAGCAATTTAAAAAAAGTATAGACATTATATAGAACTTGAGTCTCTGTAAAGCCCTTTTGCTTGTCAAGCACATACTTAGATGAATGAATCTTTAAAATTCACACTTCAGACCCATTTTTTTCTTCTTTGCCATAATAAATATCCCTCACATGTATGTATGTATGTATGTATGTATGTATGTATGTATGTATGTATGTATGTATGTATGTATGTATGTATGTATGTATGTATGTATGTATGTATGTATGTATGTATATGTGTATGTATGTATGTATGTATGCAACTCTTGGAATTAAAAAAAATGAGGTCCACAATAGTTTAAAATATATTAAAAATTAAAAAATCCCATTCTCCAAATAAAGTTTCTAAGTTAAAGTTTAATAATAATTCTAAAAATAATTTAAAATTAATTATTATTTATTACTAAAATAATTCATTAATTGCGTAAAACATGAAATTAAATCGCCATTATTGGTATAAAAACGCAATTGCATAACTGCGAAAATTAGTTTCTTGGAAAAAAACATCATGAGAATTTTTGGAGCCATTTTTGGGATTTTTGTGGTAACTTACAATAAAGTTTGAAAATAGATTAATGCAAAGCATTCCAACAACAACAAATATTATATGAAAAAATTAGCAAGAAATAAGGTACTAATCTAAAAGATCCAAAATAATAACAAACTTGTTTGGTTTAACACCCGCAAATGCTATTTCTTTAAAATTTTCCCCCTTTTTGGCTAAAAAGTTAAATAACTTATTAAATCTTACCGTAAACTCAACTTTAAGTAGTACATGTATTTCGTCAACAAAAACATTGAGAAGGTTATGTCAGATACCTTTTGATCAATAAGGGTTATTACGGAAAGTCTTTTAGTTATTGTTTTTCTTTTTTTTGTTTGGTATTTTATACCAACTAAATTTAGTAAAGTTTTTTACTTTTTTGCAGGTATTCTTCGATGACACATGTGCAATTGCTTGCTAATAATTTTACTTTATAATTAAACGACTTTTGTTGTTGTTTTTGCTGAGACTTTGCGATTATAACTTTATTTCGCTACGCGATTTATATATAAAATAAATTATTATTAATTATAAAATTGAACTCACAATAAATGTGAAATATGAAATTTATGAGCTCGTGTTTACTATTTTTAAAACATCTATCTTCAAAAAATTTCTATTGATGACACAATTTATTACATGATGATGTAAGGGTTTGTCCGTAAAGTACGTCGAGTAGAATTTAAACAATAATTAGAAGTAGAAGATCATTGGAGATCGCTATTTTACTATATTACATTGAAAAAGAAATATATATTCAAAATAATACTCTTGAAATGTAAGCGGCGACAATATAAAGATTAAAAATAAATCAAATTAATTATTCTCAATAATAATTAATATACACTGATTATTTCATAATAAAAAAAATATATCATTCCTAATATATGTTTGGAAATTGGTTCTTAGTTTGCCCTGTCGTCATGTAACAACAGCTAATTTTGTGTTGATTTCATATTCATCTTTAATGATACAGATGGTTTTTTATTTTATTTTTGGCGCTGATCAATCAATGTATGCAGCGCTGAAGTAGCGTAGAAAAAAAAAAAGAACACCAAATAAGGAACCCATGCTTTCCCACAACACATTTTAATCTCAGGGGAGGGGGGAGGGGTGATTGAGAAATACTTTGACAAAGTCCCAATTTCGTTAAAACGCTGTATCAAATTTATTCCTGGTTAACACTCTGTGTATGTATGCATGTGCTTTTGTATTTGCTTACTAGTTTTACTTAAGCCTATTAGATAGTCGATGTATGTTTGATACGTTTTTAGTTTTCATAACTAATATAAAGTAAGCTTAATTTAGTAACAACTTTTTTTTTTATTAAATTTTGCCTCTCTCAACATCAATTTAAAAACAAACTTTAACATAGAAAAATTCACCGAGAAACAAGCGGGATATAATTATAAAGCTGCGGGATATAATTAAATACTATGCGATATAATTAAAAAGTGCTGGTTAAAGCCCATTATTTTCAATTAATAACAAATAGAGGTGGTTTAAACCTATTATGACCAAAGAAAAAGTTTTAAAATAAACTTTTTAAACTCACCTTAATATTTTTCCAAATCTTGAAAATATAATTTTCAAATCATCAGCATTAGTTACAGGGTTCAACTTGCATACAAATAAAACATTTTCAGGGGGTTTTAAGTCTGCATCATCAATATCTCCAACCTATATATTAACATCTTTAAATAATATTAAATATTTATAAAAAACTATTATTAGATCTAGAATAAAATATAAAGATTATTAAAAATGTTAAGTTATGTACTGTTTCAAGTATTTTGGTTCCTATTGCTAATTCTTTGTCTTCTATTTTCTTTAAAAGCTCTTCTTTAGATACATCATCATCATTTATTTTTTCTCCAGCAGCAATTCGCCCGCTCTAGATAATTTTACTGAATATTAGTTTCAAATAATTCTGTGGCTGCAATAGAATTTTAAAAAATAGAAAAAGTTACTTCAAGAACTTCTTTTGTGGGCTCAGGAGATTTATCAGGAATAGGTAAATCTTTTGGATCATCAAAAGGATCTTCTAAAACTATTGTGTGTGTTATTCTAAAAATGATTGGCGTTTTAATAATATTTATTGTACATATATATTTTATTTTTATTTAATAAAAATGAAAGCACAATAAATATTACAAAAAAACCCAATTATTTTATATATTGTGTCATTCAAAAAGTGATTAATATATATATATATATATATATATATATATATATATATATATATATATATATATATATATATATATATATATATATATATATATATATATATATATATATATATATATATATATATATATATATATATATATATATATTAATGTTGGTATTACAATAGTATATATAATTATAAAAGTATTATTTTAATAAAATTAACTAAATTATTAAACAAAAAAAACAAAAAAAGTTTAAAAATTGGTAAAATATATAATTATAAAAACAATAAAATGTAAAATATATGATTATAAAAACAATAAAATTTTAAAAAATGCCAAAAAAAAATGTTGATGGCTCAAATTTATTTTTAAATAAATCTTATCTTAAATCTTTCTGTAATCAATTTCTCTCATTTTATTATTGATGTGATAGCCATTATAACAGAAACCTTCTATTGTGCATTAGAAGTAGTAAGACACGGACTATTGCTCTTGATATATGAAAGATTTTCAAAAAATTATGCAAAAGACCAGTAGGTCTTCTTTATAAGACCACTTTATGTGGTGTTTATGGAAATATTCTTTATTATTCTAATATTATTTAATTTCTTAAATAATTGAATAATTTCTTTCTAACAGTAGTAAAGTTGTCTATAATGGTCAACATTTCCAGTAACTTCTGGGGTAGCACAAGGCTCTACCCTTGTTGTTTTTTCATTTAAATTAATGTTCTTCCTAACAATTTACCTCTAAAGTATATACACTAATGAAACAACTAAACACTCTAGTCTTGACACAAAGTTACCACATTTTCATCTTGTTGAACAGTCAATCTTGAACGCAATATCTCTTCTGTGGCAGCTTGGGTGGAGGGCTTGCTGTGTGGCTTGCATTGGGTGGTGAATTTTAACCAAATAAAACTCAATTGCTTACTGGTAAAAATCATTGCAACTTTGTTGATAATCATATAATGATGAATGACAAAACTCTTACTGAGCCCTTTACTTTACATCTTATCAAATAATCATTCACAGATTATTTTTTGTGTATATGGTTACCCCTCATAAAGCCATATCTCTAGCTACCAAGCCTGAGCCACAATCTATTAGTTGTAAAATTGTTTCCATTTCTCTTTTCTATAAGAACTACCAAAGTCACTGCTCAAGCAAGCTTTCATTTCATGTTCTATCTGCCAAAACTCAAACTTATATGACTTGTCATTCAGCAAAGTTTTATCTTTTTATTGAAACAGTTTCTTTGTATTCAAAAAACTCTTACTTTTTCTAGTTTTTTTCTCCTCTCCTGTGTGTACTTGACTCATAAAATTTAAAATTCTTCTGTTGACTTTCTTACTCTTTAACTCTTCTTTTTTATTAAATTAAAGTTGCAGTTGCAGCTCTGTTATTAACTTCTAACATAATAAGTGGTTGCTTGCAGCTCTGTTATTAACTTCTAACATAATAAGTGGTTGCTTGCAGCTCTGTTATTAACTTCTAACATAATAAGTGATTGCTTGCAGCTCTGTTATTAACCTCTAACATAATAAGTGGTTGCTTGCAGCCTTGTTGTGGGTAAATTCATTAAAAATTAGAATAATACGTTAAGTTTCAGATTGTTCCAAATAATTTTCCAGATTTATACAAATGTCTGACATTAAAATTTCATTAAAAAGTTTGGCTCCTGAAAATAAAAGAGTTTTTTGTCATTTCTAGTTTTATTTTCTAAAGCCAAGATGATTAATATTCTTACACATCTTATTGGATAGTTTCAAAATAGTTGGATGGTTTCAAAAGAGGTGGTTGGTTTCAAAAGAGGTGGATGGTTTCAAAATAGTTGAATGGTTTCAAAATAGTTGGTTGGTTTCAAAAGAGGTGGATGGTTTCAAAATAGTTGAATGGTTTCGAAATAGTTGGTTGGTTTCAAAATAGTTGGTTGGTTTCAAAAGAGTTGAATGGTTTCAAAATAGTTGGTTGGTTTCAAAAGAGGTGGATGGTTTCAAAATAGTTGAATGGTTTCAAAAGAGGATGGTTTCAAAATAGTTGAATGGTTTCAAAATAGTTGAATGGTTTCAAAATAGTTGGATGGTTTCAAAAGAGGTGGATGGTTTTGAAAGAGTTGGATGGTTTTAAAAGAGTTTGAAATAGTTAGATGTTTTAAAAATGGTTTAGAAATAGTTAATTAAAAGCTTTAGCTGAAAAGATGATTTAGAAATAGTTTAAAGAGTGGGATGGTTTCAGAATAGTTGGATATGCATTTTATAAAATTTATGTTTTTTAAAATTTGTTTGTTCCTTTTTGAATTAAATTTTTTAATTACAAAATAAAATAAATTGTTTTAGGTCAAAATTATGTTTCTTTAAAATATTAGTAAAAAATACTTGTTTTTGATTAAAATCTATTTTATTTATTACCTGACATCTTGGAATGGTTTATGACTATCATCACATATGACCTCATTTAATTTTTCAAGAACATCAAATCCTTCTGCCAGTTGACCAAACACTGTATGTTTTCCATCCAAAAAATCCAAGCCATCACCAAGAGTAATAAAAAACTAAATTTTTAACAATATCTATTTTAAAAACTTGTATTGTTATTAAATCTTAAAAAAAAAATATCCTAAAAATTTATAAATAAAAAAAATATCCTAAAAATTTATAAATAAAAAAAATATCCTAAAAATTTATAAATAAAAAAAATATCCTAAAAATTTATAAATAAAAAAAATATCCTAAAAATTTATAAATAAAAAAAATATCCTAAAAATTTATAAATAAAAAAAATATCCTAAAAATTTATAAATAAAAAAAAATATTCTAAAAATTTATAAATAAAAAAAATTAGTTGCTGTTTTGATAATACTTTAATGAAAAATGAAAACAAATTAGCAACAAATTTTCATGTTTAAAAGAATAATACATTAAAGAATTTTTTCTTGTATGAAAGGCCTTTATAAAAGGCTTTTATGAAAGGCTTTTATATCCTTAAATTTGAATTAATAATATAAATATAATGCATATAAATGCATTAATATGCTTATGATTTGTAAATGTTAAAGAAGGAAAAACAAAAAGTAAAAATCAAAACAACAGTATCAAAACAAAATCAAAACAAAATCAAAACAAAAAATATCAACAACTAAAACAAAAATAAAAAATTTAGAGCATTAAGTTTATTACATTAATAGAGAGTTTCACTGGATTAGAGTTTCACAGGATTAGAGTACAAAAAAGTTAAATCAATTGTAATTATTTTTTTATAAATTGATAGTTTTGTGCTTAAGTCTCTTTATTTGATTACCATACTCATAACTGTCTAACTAGAAAAGGCAGACTAGAAAGTCATGACTTTGTGAAAGACTAAACAGTTTGACACTTTAATATAAAAATGACAAACATTTAAAAAATTTCAAAAAAAAAAAACAAAAAATTATGTTTTAAGTTTAAAAAATAAATAACAAAAAACAACCAAAATTAAACAACAAAAATTAAACAAAAAACAAAAAATTAATAACAAAAAAAACAAAAAATAAACAACAATAAATACTTTTTTAATTGGTTGCAAAAATAATTTTCCTAATAACTAATATAAAAATAAAGATGAATCTTTATCATTTTGGATCAATTAATTATCAACACATGCAACCACTAATTACATCAGGAGTTAACAAAAAATAAAGAAGAAAGTTGAAGAGAAAAGAATTGTAAGCTCTGAGTCAAAAACTGTAAACACTGTGACTTTATGAGTCAGAAAAACATAGAGATGGGAAAGAATTTTAAAACATTGATGTGATCAATTGATTCCCAAGTATGAAATTTCATTAAAAAGTAAGAAATCAAAAATTCAACATAAATGGTAAATATTTACTGACAAACTCTTTAGAAAAAAGTAGAAATATTACTTTTTATTTTTCAAAAAAGATGGAATAGTTTTCAACATGGTTTGCTTCTACACTATCAGGATTTAATATATGCTAAATATATGGCACCCACTTAAAAATGTTATTTAAAATTTTTTAAATTTTAACTTTAAGTTTTAAGTCATACATATAAAGCTCATTTCCAGCGAAAAAAACTTTAAATACAACAAAAAAGATAAAAAGAAAAAAAAACCTATATTCACATTATACTGTTTATAAACTTTTTAAAAGTTATATCTGAATCAATTTGGAAAAATCAAACATATAATGATACACACAAATAATTTAAGAATTTTGTATATAATTTATGCGTGTATGTACAAAACACAAGGCATAAACAGGTATAACTTTAAAAAAACTAGAGTTACTATTTATATTGACAAAACCACTTTGGTTGCAAATGTAAAAATATATATATCAACTAAATAATAAAAAACAATAACAACAGCAATAACACAAATTGCTGATACTTGAAATATAACTAGTATATATTATAAACTATAACTATATTATAAATATAACTATATTATAGTAACATAAGTAAAATATTGATGAAAATATTTTGCTTTTCATATTAATATTGATAAACATATTTTGCTTATAATGTTAATATTGATGAAAATATGTTACTTTTGTTACTATATCTTTGTATTAAAATTTTTTTTTATATAAATTAAGTTTTTTTTAAATTTTTGTTACTACATTTTTGTATAAAATATTTTAAATGTTTATAAAAAAATAAAATACAATATTTAAAATGTTCATAAAATGATACAATTGGCATAAAACAAAAAAAAAAAAATAAGTTAGAAGAAAATGTCCAACATTGAAAAAATCAAAATTATATTAAACGAAAAATTAACTATTAGTAAATTTATAATGGATTATAATTATATATGGAAAAAAAAATCATTTTGTCTTTTTTTTTTTACTAAATGAGCACAATAAGACTTCTGTCATTTATTATTATTTTATTGTTATAAGATGATTTATATTTTTGAATTATATTATTTATTATATATTAAAAAAAAGAAATAAATAGAAAGAAGCAAAATAATAAAGTTTATTTACCAAAATATTTCATTTTAAAGCAAAAAAAAAAAAAAAAGTATATTTAAAAAAGTAAAACAATTACTTGAGAACCGTGCATGTCATTTCCATTGTTGACAAATGAAATAGTTCCTTTTGTTCGATGTTTAATTCTTGGTTTTAACTCTAACTCAAAATATTTGGCTTGGTCACCATAAACAAATCTGGTTATTTATAATAATCATAAAAATATATTTAAATAAAAAAATAAGATATAATAAATAGTAAATTTGTACAAATAAGGTATTAATTAAACATAATTAAACATTTTGATTTATAGCATAAAACTAATGGTCAATAATCATACAGTATATAAGTATCAGAAGAAAAGCTCAACAATTTCAATGAGGAAAAAAATAATCCTTTATTCATTTAAAGTTCAAAATTTTGAAAAAGGAAAAAAATAATTCATTATTCTTCAAAAGCACAATATTTCAATAAGGAAAAAAATAATTCATTATTTATCTAAAGCTCAACATTTGAAAAAAGAAAAAAAAGAATTCATTTTTTTCTGAATATAAAAATATTCATTTTACTTCTTTTGTTCCCCAACTCAAATTAATGAATATTTTTTTACTGTGATATTTTTAACTTAACCTGAAAGCTTTAAACTTTTTTTGTTTTTAATGCTTTATTTAATGTTTTTGATCACATTTGATCAACCTTTGAAATAATCGTAAATATATAAAATTTAAAAGCAAAATTTTTTTTAGGAGTATATTCAAATTATTTTTCTTTTTACTTACGAGTACACAGAAACACCCCCTCTGCCTGTTTCTGTTGGATCACCACTTTGAGCAATGAAGTTTCTCTAAAAATATTGTATTAATACAACTGAATACATATCATAATACTTTTGTGTGTGTGTTTTATTTTGGTTTTGCACCAACAAAAAAAACAGCACTGTTATTTTTAAAAAGCATGCAACAAATACCAAGGTGATTTGTAAAACATATTTTTTTTTAATTTTAATTCACTGCCAACAAAGCTGCAAGTAATTACTATTAAGTTGGGAGTTACTAAAGAAAAAAAAAATAGAATTTTAGAGCAAGGAAGCAGTTGACAGGAACAGTTGAGAAAGAGGCTTAAGCTTAGTAGATAGAGCAGGTCCAACAACGTTAAAAATGTATTTTTGGACCTTGTCTACAAGAGAAAGGAGCATCATTATATGACAACAAATATGACAACAGTATTCTATACAAAGAAAAATAAGAGATATGTAGAGGTAGAGAATGGAGTCAGGAGTAAGAAAATTGCAAGCACAATAAAGAGAAGCAACATTAGCAGATGCTAATTTAGCGATCGATTCTATACATGGTTTCCATGAAAGGTCAGTAGTAAACGATAATCCAAAAAGATATAAAGAAGTGGACCCAGTAAGAGGGTTGCCATATATTAAAATAGGAATGTTGGCCATATTGCAATAGTTGTTTGCACTATATAACTGAAATTTGTTAAAGTTAAAATTTACAAGCCACTGCCAGCCCCAATCTGTTACAGAAATGAGATCAAATTCAAGGTTGAAAATTCAAGGAACTGCCTGTTCTAAGCAAAATGCTTAGAACAGGCAGTTGTGGAGTCCCAAAAAGGACTCCAGATTTAAAATTCACAAAAAGATTACTTCTTCCTAGTTTTTGGTATCCAGGAGCTCTAAAAATATAAATAAGTTTATGGACTACTAAAAGAAAAAAAATTAAGACTTTTGGATACGAAAAACAATCATTTTTTGAACCCAGAGTCCTTAGGTATAATGGTGGCAAGCATTCCAGGATACCAGGACTCAGGGCTTAAAAACAATAAGTTTCAAGTAAATTAAATCTCATAAATTGTTTCTTTATAGCAGATCATAAGTCAACCAAACATGTTTAGAGCTTCTAAACACTCAGACTTAGAAAAAGTAGAGATATAAAGCCAGAGTCCTTTTAGGACTCTGCACCCCTGGTTCTTAGCATTCAAAAAGAGAAGACTTTTTTGTCAAGACAGGAGTATAAAGTTGAGTCATCAGCAAAAAGACCTACTTAAGATAGACTTAGAAGACTAGCATTCCAAACTTTATTGAAAACTTTAGATATGTCAAGAGCAATAGCCCTAGCCTTACCATCTTCATCTAATGCAAAATAAAATCTTTCAGCAAGTCAGCGGTAGAACAAGAGGATTAAAAAATGTAATGATTGTCTGACAGTAATTAATTTGACTCAAGATGGGAGATGTGAGAAATTTGTTGATTAAAGACTCAAAGACGTTACTAATAACAGAAAGAAGACTGATTGTCAGAGTGTTCTCTGGGGTTTTTGAAAATTGGAACAACAGATGTTATTTTCCAGCAAATAGGAAAACAAAACTCAGTCAACCACTTATTAAATAGTTTTGAGAGAACCGAAGAGAGTTCTGGAGAACAATTTTATAAGACAGAAATGTTGTCTGGACCACAAGCCGTAGAAGAAATTAATTGAGATATGGCATATGATAAAGATGAAAGCTGGAGTGATTTAAATGTCAAACAATGGGTTAACCTGTTTAATTTATAAAATTTAAGAGTTGAATTAGAAGAAAAGTTCTTTGCAAACAGTTTTGTCTTTTCCTTCCTTGGGAGAGAAAATAAGATCAGTCCCATGAATGAGAGATAGAATGTTAGACTCACCCTTGTTAATGACGCTGTTGAAGATTTTCCAAAAGTCTCTAAAGCCTAACTTCTGAGATAAGATGTAAGATTTAGTGAACTAAGAATAATGGAGTCTAGCATCAGACAGCAACTTTTTACATCAAGTTCTTGCAATAATAAATAGCCATTTGTTCTCTAGAGTTGTTCTTCTGAAAAAGATGATTACAATTTGATATAGCACCAAAAAAAATGTGAAAACCATTGAGTAGAACAAGAAGGAATAAAAGCAATAATTCCTACTTGAATCCAGGAGGGTACCTAAGAGACGTATTTATCAGTTAAAAGGGAAAATATATCAGCCCAAGGACTGTCATAAAGAAAACCACAAAAAGAATCCTAGTCAGCTTTAGGGTAGTAGTAAGTAGGTAGTGCAATGATAGGATAAGGCTGAAAATAAAGTACAAGAAGAAAGATTTAAAGAGATCATTAATCACCTATAGGAGAAAAAGAAGAAACTGAACACAAGCTAGGATCAGAGGCAAAACATAAATCAAGGAGTGAAGGTAAATGATTAGGGCTCTCAGGAAAATGAGTCACAAGGTTAACAATCTGAGTAAGAGATTAAGAAATGCAGTTAAAACCATGGTGGTATTTATAAAGAAAGAAAGTCAAAATTTAAATCACTTTTATTTAAGGGGTAAACAGATTCTATCTGTTGTTATCTATTTAAGGGGTAAACAGATTCTATCTGTTGACCAGCCTCGCACCCCTTCCTCATCTATTAGGCTGGCGCAGATGTATTTTTAATACATTGTTTCCAGTTTAGGATGTTGAACGCTGGATCTTCTTGACTCAATGCGTGGGTATTGCTTGTGTCTCTATTTTTATGACTGGGCAACTCATTCTATTATCTCCTAATGAGGGTACAGCTCTAAAACTCAGTTTTATGGTTCTGAGGCCGGCTGGTAGTCAGGTTTCCGAACTCTGTGGTAGCTCTTAGAGAGGCTGATTCCATCAACAGCCGAAAAATATCAGAGTACTAACAGTGCCATGTTGCGCATGGATGGTGTCCCTGTTAGTACTTTTGGTGTGCATTGCAGAGGCCACATTTGGAGCCTTTTGTTACAGCTTAGGGTTTATTAATAGTAATGAGGCTATTGCTTAGTTGTTAAATAGTGTACTGAGTACTATCTATACTTGAGTCAAGTTCTTTATAAATTTAAAACGACTAAAGTACCTAAAACTAAAAAACACAAAAAACCATCGTCATCACCAAGTTCTCTAAACCTATCATTTACTAATATTCGTGGTCTTCGAAGTAACTTTTCTTCTGTTGAGTCTTATCTCTTGCAAAGTTCACCAGACCTACTTGCTCTTTGTGAGACTAATTTGAGTTCGGCTGTCCCATCTTGTGATCTTAGTGTTGATGGTTATCTTCCTTTAATTCGTAAAGACTCCAATAATCACATGCTTGGCCTGGGCATCTACATTCGTAAGAACTCACCCATTTGTCGTGAAACTAGGTTTGAATCTACAGACTATTCATTTATGTGCTTTCGTTTAGCACAACTTCACTCTATCGCCTTTCTCTTTGTTCTATATCGCTCTCCTTCATCCCAAGATTGCACTATTCTTGATGTTATTTCTGATCAAATTGACCAAGCCCTCTCTCTTTATCCATCGGCCAATATCGTCGTTGTTGGTGACTTTAATGCCCATCACACCGATTGGCTTGGCTCTAGTGTCAGTGACTCTGCTGGCGTTAAGGCCCTCAACTTTTGCCTTTCTCAATCTCTAACTCAAATAGTCAACTTTCCAACTCGTTTTCCAGACAACCCTAATCATTTACCTTCTCTACTCGACTTATGTCTTGTTTTGGATCCTAGTCAGTGCTCAATCTCTCCACATTCACCCTTAGGTACTTCTGATCACGGTTTGATCTCTCTAAAACTATTATTAAATTCTTCTACTTCATCAGAATCCCCCTATCATTGTACCACATACAACTACCTTAAAGCTGACTGGGACTCTTTCCGTGATTTTCTTCGTGATAACCTTTGGGTAGAAATCTTTCGTCTTCCTGCTGACAAATGTGCTTCTTACATAACTTCGTGGATTCAGGCTGGCATGGAATCTTTTATTCCCTCTCGACGATTCCAGGTCAAGCCTCACTCTTCTCCTTGGTTTTCCTCACATTGTGCTGCAGCAATTTCTAATCGAAACCGTTACTTCCATATCTATCAGCAAAACAATTCTCCAGAAAACAGACATCTGTTCACTATCGCCAGAAACCATTGTAAAAAGGTTTTGTCTGACGCCAAAGCTCGCTATTCCCAGGTCATTCAATCTCGTATCTCATCACAAAAATTAGGCTCTCGAGACTTCTGGAGAACCTTTAACAGTATCAATAATAAGGTCAAATCTGTTATTCCTTCTCTCTTGTATGGTTCAGACTTTGTCACCTCACCTAAAGACAAAGCTGAATTGTTTGCTAAGAACTTTTCATCAATATCATCTCTTGATTCCACTAGTTGCGTTTTACCTGACATAGCCATCAAACAGGTTGATCCCTTGCTTGACATTCGCATCACTTCAGCTTCTGTATCTAAAGTAATTTCCTGCTTAGACTCTTCAACAGCTTGTGGTCCTGACAACATTCCTGTTGTAGTTTTGCAGAGGTGTTCATCCATACTTTCTAAACTATTTAACAAGTGCTTATCAGAGTCTTGTTTTCCATCATACTGGAAAGCAGCATCTGTTATCCTTATTTTCAAAAATTCCGGAGAGCGATCTGATTCATCTAACTACCGCCTCATTAGTCTTCTTTCTGTCATAAGCAAGGTTTTTGAATCTTTAATCAACAAACACTTAATCTCTCATCTTGAATCAAATAACTTACTTTCTGATCATCAATATGGATTTCGGTCTTCTCGTTCTACAGCTGATGTGCTAACAGTAATAACTGATAGGCTTTACCGTGCATTAGATAGAGGTGCAGAGGTTAAGGCTATCGCACTTGACATTTCTAAAGCTTTTGATAAAGTTTGGCATGCTGGTCTTCTCCATAAGCTTTCTTCTTATGGTGTAGCTGGTAACGTCTTTAAGATTATTAAGTCCTTTCTTTCCAATCGTAGTATAAAAGTTGTCCTCGATGGACAACACTCTTCTTCACATCCTGTAACTTCAGGGGTTCCTCAAGGTTCAATCCTTGGCCCTATACTCTTTTTAATTTACATTAACGATCTTCCAGATATTCTCACATCTAAGGTGGCATTGTTTGCTGATGATACTACTATTTATTCTTGTCACGATAAATGGCCAACTTCTTCTGATTGCTTGCAGGGGGCATCTGAGCTTGAAAAGGATCTCACTTCTGCTACAGCATGGGGCTCACAGTGGCTGGTGAACTTTAATTCAGATAAAACTCAATTTTATTCGGCCAATCGTTATCGTAATAATTTCGATCTTCCTATATTTATAAATGGTAATGTACTAGATGAGTCATCTACCATTCATCTTCTAGGATTAACTCTTACTTCTGATCTTTCTTTTAAACCGTATATCAAATCCATTGCAAAATTAGCATCTGCTAAGGTTGCATCTCTTTATCGAGCTCGACACTTTCTTACTCCAGATTCTATTCTCTATCTCTATAAATCTCAAATCCGTCCCTGTATGGAATACTGTTGCCACATCTGGGGCGGATCTTCTAATGATGCTCTTTCTCTTTTAGACAAGGTGCAAAAACGAATTGTAAACATAGTTGGACCTGCTCTGGCAGCCAATCTCCAACCTTTGTCACATCGTCGTAATGTTGCTTCTCTTTCTCTTTTCTACAAATACTATAATGGGCACTGCTCTAAAGAGCTAGCGTCCCTTGTGCCATCTACTAAAATTCATTCTCGTGTTACTCGCCATTCAATTAAGTCTCATCCTTTTTCTGTGACTGTTCCAAAGTGCTTCAAAAACTCTTATTCTTTTAGTTCTTTTTTTCGAACATCAGTTCTTTGGAATTCGCTTCCTTCATCTTGCTTTCCTGATTCATATAATTTGCAATCTTTTAAGTCATCAGTCAATCGTTATCTTGCTCTACAGATTTAGTCTTTTCTCTTCCAGTAACTTCCAACTCTTATAGTGGTTGCTTGCAGCCTTGTTGGAAGTGAAGATGTTAAAAAAAAAAAAAAAAAAAAAAATTATATAACTATTCTAAATGGTATTTAGAATTTAGAATAGTAAACACATTTAGAATAGTAAACACCAAATTATTAATATGTTTTAGTATAACCAAAAAAAAAACATTTTTTTAAACTTACCCGAACTGAATGAAAACAACAGAAATTATAATACTTTATTTTGCATAGCTTTAAGAAGTTCATGCATGCTAAAATCAGATAAAATACTGATAATAAGAGAAAAGATATTGACCTCTTTATTTAATTATTTTTTCATTTTTTTAAATGAATATAAACAAACATAAAATGCAAATAAATGATTTACAATTAGATTAAAAAGCTATCTTTAAAAATAATTCAATAAAAACCCAAAAAAAATGCTTACATTTTTATTTCATTTTATAGCTTTCTTTTAAACTTTATATTATTTCATACTTTATATTAAAATTCATTATAATTCTTTTATTTTTATCATATTAAAAAATGACTTCATTAAAAAATGGCAAACCATCTCCTGGAAATCATATATTGAATCAAAATCAGCATTTGTTGTTGTTTCTCTATTTTTATAGAATTATTCAATTTTTATTTGGAATCATTTTTTAGAACAAATAATACTTTTAGAAAGTTATCATTATTGTTATTGATATTTGTTACCATTAACTAAAGTTTTAAATTTTAATTATAGATTATAATTATAATTTGATAAAATATTTTGATTTAAATGAATTTATAATCATTTAAATTGAAATTTAAAAAACTTACATCTTGGCCTTTCTTCAGTGTAAAGATCAAATACCAAATCTCCTAATGTTGTTTCAACTAGAACAGACATTTCCTTAAAAAAAGAAAAAAAAGATTTTTATGTTTAACTTTCATTAAAAAAACTAATATTTACATATATATATATATATATATATATACACATATATATATATATATATATATACACACACACATATATATATATATATATATATATATATATATATATATATATGTATATATATATATATATATATATATATATATATATATATATATATATATATATATATATATATATATAGGCCTCGGCAGGAAGCGAGAGCTTTAGCTCTCGCCCACACTCTCCTAAAAAAGTTTACGGGAGCTATTTACAGCTCTCGCAAAAGTATAATTTTTTCTCTCAAAAGTTTAATTATCATTGTAACTAAAATAAAAAACACACTCATTTTAATAATTATCTTTAACAATTCCTAAAATCCCTGCATTATATTACAATAAGAAAATATTAAACTTTTTTTATAAGCAATAAAAATAATGCTTGTCTAATGAATTTAGACAAGCACTCATTTCTTCCCGCCAAGGTCTATATATATATATATATTATATATATATATATATATATATATATATATATATATATATATTATATATTATATATTATATATTATATATATATATTTATATATATATATATATATATATATATATATATATATATATATATATATATATATATATATATGTATATATATATATATATATATATATATATATATATATATATATATATATATATATATATATATATATATATATATATATATATATATATATAACATCATTAAAACAAAAACATCAAAACAAAATTTCATAGTTTTTAGTTTTAAAAAAGTTCAATAATGAGATCAAGCAAATTTTTTAGATTAAGGAAAATTATTATTCATATCATTCAGAGCTACTTTTAAATCTATTTGCATCTATAAAAGAAAATTAATGAATCTTGTTCTTGAATCACAAACCAAAGCTTTTTCTTTTCCGAACTTTTCAAATATATTTGGTTGAAGTTCGTCATCATTGCTCACTAGTGATCTACAAAATTTTTCAACCATTTTTCTTATTTTTACGACAGTTTTCTTGATACTCAACTTTTAGAAACAGAATAGAATCTTCCCTAACTGGATGAACAGCTTGAATATCATCATAAACTTCCCATCTGCATCATCACTGTCATCTTGATCAGAACTTACAGCTCCCATTATTATCATCAACAGAATTTACAGCTTCCATATCAACAGAATTTGCAGCACCCATATCCTCACCAACAGGGTCAAAATTATAACTATGTGCACAAACTTTTTTATAAGTTAGCATAGATGAATATTATGACTGTAAAACATTTAATATTCAGATTCAGTGTCTTAAACAATTTTTTTCATCAAGCAAACTCTATCAATAACAGAAACAATATCTTTGTCTAAATTTAAATCAAAAGAATTAAGCTTAATAAATTTAATGGCTTTTGTTGCTGGCATTGTACCTTGGATTCTTAACATTCCAAGAGATTGAAATCCTTAATTGTGATGTAGATTCAGTTTCATATACCTTTTATTTTTTACTCAAGCATACTCATCAAATAGAAGACTAATTTTGCCTTTATCTTGAAGTTTCGTTTTTAAAGAACTTATAACTTATTTCTTGACTAACCTGAGATATCTAATACCTCAGGTTAGTCAAAAAACAAGATTGAAAACCGTTTGAAGACTTTGAGGGATTTGGTATACCCAGCAATCGAAATTAGGAAAAATGAAGTTAGCAATAAACTGCCAACCTTAAACTAATAGAGGTTGGCATCAGGCCGGCAAAAAAAATTTAAAATAAAAATCATACTATAAAACATGTCAAAATCATACTACAAAACATAGAAACAAGGTCAGCTTTTTTTTGCTGACCTTGTTTCTATGTTTTATAGTAAGCCAAAAAAAATTTTTAAAGACAATACTTTCAAAGTTATGTTTACTTTATTAAAAATGAAATAAAATTTTTTTTTTGATAAATCTGGGGCATGGCTTCCAGTGCCCCATCCTTATGGACCCTCTAGTCATCTGCCATTGAAACAATTTTAACACACGTTCATAAGGACTACACAAACTGCAAAATTATGAGAGCTCCAGTTTGTGTGGAAGGCAGTAAAAAATCTATTCTAAAAAAATAAAGCTCATAAAATGGTATATGGAAATCTATATACTTGTAACTCAAAATCTTATATTTTCTCAAGGATCAATGAAAATAGAATGGTGTGTAGAAACTTTTTTTTTTGATATCATCAAGGCCACATGAGTTTCTTGAGCATCAAAATCAGGTATATAAAAAATTGCCTAAATTCATTTATAAATTGATAAATACAGGTACTTAATAACTTTTTATATTTATAATCGTTTCATTAGCTTCATTAGAATGCTAGAGTGCTAGAATAGGTGGAATAGATACAAAGTAGATTTTCTCTGCTAACAGGAATTTATCCAAGTTTAAAATCAAATCAAATATGTCTGAAGCCATGTCAGATAATGAACTCAGCCCAAATGGTTTCAAGACAGATTGTCAGCTGAGAACCAAGAGGCCTTATCTCTTACCCTTAGGGTGGCCATTTTTTTAAATGTATGTTCTTGCCCTCTAAATGTGTTCTATATAATGAAATAAAAGATTTTTTGAATAAAAATATTTTTAAGGGGTAGATTAAGACCTTTAAACATCAGACGGGTCCTTATAATTATCAAAACAAAAGTTCTTTAAAAGTAAAACAAATTGGGTTTCAAAAGAAGCAAAATTATATAGAAATTTTAAAAATATTTATTATTTTATAAAAAACATTAAGAAAAATAAGTTATAATAAAATTAATATGTTGTTACATAATTTTCCTTCTTTTAAGACCCAACATAATATACTTGTTGAAAAAATATTTTTTTGATAAATTAAAGTGGTTTGCCTTCTTCTCCACTTTTTGTGATTCAGAATAATTCGACTTTCAAATTTTAGGGCACAAATACTGACAGTTGATCTTTTAAAAAAATATTTTTATTTTTAAATCTAATACTAAATTAAGTCTTATCTTTAATAGAAATAATAAAAATTTGTTTGAAAAGATGGTTTTAATCTTAAAACATTTCAAACTGAACCTAGTTGTGGACATGCAGCCTGCTGGTTTGCATTTCTATAAACTTTAATAAACGGCATATTTTCAGAAAGCTGTTTATATAACTCTTGGGTAATTAATACAAGAGGGAGAGTGTAAGAGTTTATATAACTCTTGGGTAATTAATACAAGGGGGGGGGAGAGTGTAAGAGTTTTAGCTCAGATTTAATAAACAGGAAGATGGGTCTTAATAAAAATATGGAATGGAATTTTTAACATAAAAACAATTTAATTCTAAAGTGGTTTGCATTCTAATGCGCATTTTTAAACAGCTATTTTATTATAATTCAATAGGATTTGATATGCTTACTAGTGATAGCACTTTTTTGGCCAATGTTGATACCGATGCCAATACTGATGAATTAACTAATTATTAAACCTTTGAAAATATAAAACCATACAACTTTAAATTGTGTAATCTTTTTCATGGAATCAGTACTGGTAAACAAATACTTGAGCCCAAATCAGAGCCAACCCATTATTTTAAAAGATATTAGTAAAACTCAGTTAACTACATATCAAAGCAAATAACACACCTGCTTTTATCAAGCCTATCATTACGATTACGTTCTTCATTAGTTTCAACTAATGAAGAAATTAGTTGAAACTATCGAAGAACTAATTTCAAAATATGAACTTGTTTACTCTGTGTTAAATATTGATCTATGCATACATTTTTTTGCATAAATAACATTGTCAGAAACATATTTTCACATTCTCATACTAAATGCAATTCAGATTTTCTTGAATTTTTTTGTTTGTTTGTACTTTTGTGACGAAAGTGACTGTCAATTCTGGGAATGCTTTGAATACGCTGCCGTACAAAATTTTAAATGTAACTTGGGACAGTTTGATACTGTTTATACTGTTGAGGTGTTCCTCAATAGTAACTTCTAATTCTTTTTTTATCAATATCTAGAGCAGTAGGGTAGTAGTAAAAATGTAGAAGTAAAAAAACCGCTTTTCTTGATCATTTAAAATCCAGTGTTGTTTGTGATCAGCAACACTTGATCAGCAACACTTAAGCATTGAATAAGTAGTAAGCATTGACTAGTCTAAAATATTTGTAATTTCATAATTTAGAGAACTCTATATCTATATTCATACCTTTGAGAGACTTCATCAGTGGTTTCCTGGCTATTTTATTAATAACAAATAGAGTTTTAGCGGTCATTTAACAGCGCAAACAAAGTCTTGGCTAATCTGATTGGTCAAAGGGCATAGGGCCAGTGATAATAACAGTCATCACTTTTTTGGAGATACGGCCTTCTGGTTCTTTTAATATAGTCAAGATTATATAGAAGGTAAAAAAATCAATTAGCAATTATATTGCAGGTCAACAAGCTCAAAATCGCAGCAATTTATACTGGAACTAGTTTAAAAAAAAAAAGCAATCGGGATATTTTGACAGCTTTGAATTTACTGACATACAAGCTTTTACATTTGATACAACCAGATTCATTCAGAAAAAAAAAATGTGTCTTTACTGGTAAATAAAATCTTTAAGCATCCAATTTTTTTATTTCAAGTCAACATAATGCCTATGAAGTACATATAACATTTCTGGAAAAATTATACACGTATTACACACTGTATGTATTACACACTGTATGTGAAGCAGAAAATATGCTGTTTAAAATTTAAAAAATTAGCATGGAGTGATTTTGATTCAGAGAATTAGGTCGGGTTTACATAATTAGCTAAAATTTTATAAAACTTTTTTTTTTTCCACTATCTACTATTGTGTATACTGATATACATTTGTTAACCTTTTTTTGCTTACTTTTTCCGTATGATTTTTTCATAAAAAAAAGAAGCATAAAAAAATTATTGCTGCCCCTACTCAAACCCTTGAGTAGCAGTGCTCTGTAGCAGTGCT